TCAAATCGGAGAGTTTCTTGATTTTGATATCGAAACCGCCTTGGCTTAATTATTTGCTGGGGGTGGCCGCATAGGTACATGCTCTGCAACTTGCAGTGGCATGGACCTATAAACATGTTAGGTAATCAAATTCACGAGAAGTTGACAATCCTTAATACTGCTAAATCACCAGTTGTGAACTTTATCAGGATTCCCGTATAAAGTTACACATCATTCTAGCAAGGAAAAATATTGATTATTGTTGTGCAGGTTATATAATAAAATATAAAATAATTAATATTTCATTTTTGTTAGTATAATATGTACACATTATATCTACTTGGTGTGGGTATTGCCAAGCAAGTTTATAAAATTATAAACAAATATTTTCGTAAATAAAACTGACTGCGAAATACATCTTTGAGAAGTATTACTGATGAATACTTTATATCGTAATTTCTTTCAATTTGAATTAGTTGTATTGCAATCATTAGTAATAATAATAATAATATTTATTGCATCTTTAGAAATACAGTATATCTATCAGTACAGTAGCAATAAAAGTATAATAAATAAGTATAAATAGTGTAAATGTATACATTCCTTTATTTCATTGTTGAGACTGAGTTATACAGTTTGTTACGTACTACAATTTATCTATATTGGAAAACGGTTATGGGGATTATTAATTTCAATAAACAATATTCAACTATCCTTTGCAACACCAATAAGATCATAATGGTAATGTTTATTGGTCTTTGAAACTAGAGGCATTATCAGAGCATGGGTCTTATTTTGGAACTCCTGCTAGGATGGTATTCCCAGAATAATGCCAGTTGTTGAAGAAACATAAAACTTTAATTCTCAACAAGGATGAAAGGACCAGTTACTGAGACAAAGCCCTACTCCCCGCGAAACCCTACAGACATGAAACCCACTTACCACGAAAGCCACTCACCGCAAAGCTACTAGTTATTATTACAAAAATAGACCTGACGCTCATTGGTAATTACAACGTAGCCAGCAACGAATTAGAAGTATGATATACAATACTTGCTTCAG